CACTTCCTGGATGCCTCAGCCTTCGTGGTGCAGCATGGAATGTAAATCCCTGTGAAGCTGGGCAAGGGCCTGGGCCTGAAATTCCTGAGTTTCTGTTCAGAAGCCCCCGTGCTGCATTCTGGGGGGAGGCTGCTGCCCTGTCACCTCAGATGAAACCTGTGAAAGCACTGAAGAGAAACTGCTGGAGTTTCTCCTGGAGAAACAGCCTGGAGATGGACAAGGGAGGGTGAGATCTGTGTTGTCCCACTGATTTTTGAAGCCAGTTTCCTTTTTGTTTCCCACCTTAGTGCCCCAGTCCATCGAGGAGGGGATGCTGGTGTGGTGCAAGTTCCGGCGGTATCCCTACTGGCCAGCAGTGGTAAGAGCAGCTCCTGCCTGCTGCTATCCTGGTATCCTGCTGAGAAGGAGCAGTTTGCCAGTTCTGGAGTGGCTTTTGCCCTTCCTCACTCACCTAAGAGCTGGAAACGTTAAAGATCTTCCAGTAGGAAAGTTCCAGAGCTCATAGAAGTGAAATTACATCTGACAAAACCACATAAAAAGTAAGTGTGGTTAACTCACACCTGTCTATACCAGAGCAGAGGATTATGCTGTGCCATGGAATAGGACCTTCTTCCCAACTACCAAGAAAGGGGATGGTCCTTGTGCAATGGAAGTGCTCCCTTGGGGTAACTGGTTACTCCTTCCAGTTCAGTTTTTCGTATTTGTGTAGTAAAGGAAGTTGCACAAATAAGAAAAAATGAAGTGTGGGGTGTCAGATATCCATGGAAAATGTCTGTGCTTTGTCAGGGTTTGGGATTTTAGGAGCCTAAATGAGGCTGTTTTCTGTCCCCAGGTGAAAACAGTGAAGCGGAAGCCCCGGAGGGCCTGTGTGCTCTTCATAGATGGGACCACAAACGAGAAGAAGAAAGGGTAAAGTGGACTTCAGTCACATCCTGAACTTCCAGTTGCTGTTACTGTGTGTTCTGTGCCCATTTCCTGGGGCAGGGCGAGGACAATCCCTTCAGGTTGCTCGGGGAGGAGGGGCTGGGGCAGGGGAGGGTTGCAGGTTGAGGCAGGTCCATGTCCAGGGGCAGGGCTGAGGAATTAAGAACAGAACAAAAAGAGAGGCCCTGGGACACAGCCAGTGTTTTACTTGTGCTGCCCAAACTTCCTGGAAACACAACCTGCCTTTAGCTTTGTTCTAAACCAGGTGTTTGGTTAGAAGATTCCATAGTTTTCACTTAGTCTGAAAACCAAAACTGGTAAAACCTGCACTCCTGGGAAATAAAACAAATAGGGAAACGAGGCAGCTGAGTTGCACCTCTAACTGTGTTTCCTTAAGTTTTTCGGTGTCTCTGAAGACCCTGAAGCACTTTGACTGTGAAGAGAAGCAGGAGCTCATTGTGAGTATCCCACAAATGTGGAACTGCAGGGGTTGGGAGAATCTAGTGGGAATACAGGGTACAGGTGACCAGGGGAGCAGTGTGGTGGGGCTTGGCACCCCCCAGAGCTGCTCTCATCCCTGGGACAGCCATGGCAGGAGTGCATTCATGGTTATTAACCATTTCTGTGACCTGGTTGGTGTCTGAGGGTGGAACTCCTGCCAAGCTGCTCCTTTTGGGGCTGTTTCCCATATTTTCCTGTTTTGCAGGATCGAGCCAAGGAGAACTATCCCCAGGAGATCGAGTGGTGCCTCCAGCTCATCCGGGACTACTGGGTCCGAGTGGGTAAGGAGGGCTCAGCTGATCTCAGCCATGCAGTCCCAGACTGGAAGGGGTGGGAAGGACCTCAAAGCCCACCCAGTGCCACCCCCTGCCACGGGCAGGGCCACCTTCCACCAGCCCAGGTGGATCCAAACCCCATCCTGGGGACACTTCCCCAACCTGGCCTTGGACACTTCCAGGGGTGGGGCAGCCACAGCTTCCCTGGGCAACCATCCCCATATCCCTCAGGAAAAGGGTAAACCCCAGCTGCCAGCTCTGATTCCTGGGCTGAATGGAAGTGGTGAATAAGTCTCCCTGGTTTGGGTTTTCAGGTTGTCATTCCTTCACCGGCTCCTTCCTGGAGTATCTCGCCGCCGACATCAGTGAGTGAATCCATCACTGTTTTCATTTTATCTCACTTTGGTAAATTTAACTCCAGCATTTACACACGAGTGGGTTTGGCACCAGACCCAGAGAGGGGCTGCCCTTAAATTCACAACATACCATCGTTGCAATTAAGGTTTTAATGAAGTTTTTAATTAAGTTAAATAAATATGGATGGTTCGAGGCAATCAGGTCGTGGAATCAGAATAGTTGGAGTTGTAACTGGTGCCTTCACGTTGTAGACTTCGTGTCAGAGGCAACTCCCTAATCTCTTTTTTTTTTTAAGGCAAATGAAGATTTTAGTGGTGGTTTTTTAACCCCTTTGCTAAGGAAGGAAGAAAAAATTCTCTCTTACCAACAAAGTTCTTTATTTTCTATTTATATATGTAATTATGGATGTGAGGGCCCTTTGTATATTTAAATAGAAATGCCTGTGGCCTTTGTTTCAGGCTACCCAGTGAGGAAACAGGGACACCAGGGTGAGGTGGAAATGACCTTCCCCAGCACGGCAGAGGAGGATCTTGGAGAGTCTTCCTTGGAAAATTCCCCCCAGAAGCCCCTGAGGAGGCTCCTTCCAGACAGGAGCAGAGCAGCCAGGGACAGGGAGAACAAAAAACTCGTGGAATTCATAGTGAAGACAAAAGGGGCAGAGGAACATCTCCGGGGGATCCTGAAAAGCGGGAAGAAATCCCGCTGGCTGAAGAAGTTCCTCAACTCCTACTGGTACGTGACCCGTGTGGAGACGTACCTGGAGGATGAGGAGCAGCTGGAGCTGGTGTTTGATTACCTGAAGGAGGTTTACAGGGAGATGGACACGACAAACCTGCGCCAGATCCTGGGGGACGGCATCAAATTCATCTCGGACGTGCTGCTGCCTGAGGTCAGGGCACAGGGACAGGGACAGGGAGGGAATGAATAATTCCTGTTCTTTGGGAGCTTTGTGAGTCGTGTGGAATGACCTGGGGAGAGTTCCCAGAGCTGAGCTGAGCGGGAACACTCCCACCTGCCCACGGCCTGAGTCACTCAAATGCCGACTTTTAAGCAAGAAAGGAGATGCTTTGAGTAGCTGGTTGCTTTTAAAGGCAGAGTGATCGTTTTCTGGTGTGTTTTAATTACTCCTGAAATGGTTCAAAGCTTTGTTTTGGGGTTTTTATTTTAATTTGGCAAGTTCTCAGGGTTTTCTTGGTCCTCTGTGCGTGTGATGGGGGGAGGGGGGTGGGTTTGCTGGTTCTGTGGTTGTTTTAGATGTTTTTCTGTTCGTCACAGGAATTTTCCCAGGAGAACATTAACTTGTGTGGAAGCAAAATTACTGTGAAGAATATCTTAGTCTGGGGATAAAAACACTCCCCTGGGGATGATACAGGACTAGTTTGTATCATTTATTTAAGAATTTCAGGCACTCAATGAGCAGTTTCATCCAAGTTTTCTAAGTGATCGAGGAACCCTTTTCTCACCTGAGGCAGCTTCAAATCCCTGGTTGTGATTTTTGTTTTGTTTAATGATTGTAAATGAATTAAATGCCTTTCTAGGCCATTATCTACGCCATTGCTGCCGTGTATGACATCGACTACAAGAAGGCAGAAGAGAAGTACATTAAAGGACCACCTGTGACCAAAAGGTATTTTTATTTTCAGTATTCCCTGAGGGTTTTTACCAGTTTACTGCTTGTGCAGGAAGGTGTTGAGTGTAAGGACAGGGGAGCTCCATGTCCTCCCTCCTCTGGGGGTCAGAAACAAAGGATTAGACACGGAAAACGTTCTGGCTGAGCTACTCCAACCCTGCAGGCTTCAAATTGTCCAGATCATCCAAAGATGTCCAGGTCTGCCTAAAAGCTTCCATGTTTTTCCTTTCAGGGAGAGAGAACTGTTTGACGAGCAGATCCGGGCCTGGAAGAAGCTCAAGTCGACCCTGGAGCCCGAGGAGAGCTGAGGGTTGGTGGCCCCGGGTGCAAACAGCCAGTGGTGATTTGTATGAACGTGCAATTCTTTCCCAAGCCCCCGTGTGTGCCCCCCAAAGCTGCTCTGGTCTCAGCCTTCCCCGTGCCCCCCGTGCCCAGCTGCTGCCAGCCCGTCCCCCCGTGCCCACCCTGGGGGCTGCAGAGCCCCTGCCCCGACCCCCAGTGCCCTGGGGGCTCTTTTAGCCACACGTGTGCCCCGGGCAGGGCTGTGCTGGAGAGCAGGGCCTGCTCCCTGTGCAGCCAGAGGGGCCTGGGCTCTCCCCTCCTGCTTCCCGTGTCTCCAAGTGTGGGAAATAAAGTTGGTGCCCAGTGCTGCAACCTGAGTCCCGAGGCTTTGGGTTTGTGTTGGTGGGACAGCTGCAGTTCCCTGGGGAGGGAATCCAGGTTTGCTGGAACAAAACCATTCCCTTTTCCTGGAGCAGCGACCTGTTGGAATGCTGGTTTGTTGGCTCTTCTGAGGCTGAGGATTTAGGGAGGCTTTTAATTGGCTTTTTCTCGTTTAAATTCTCAAATTGATCCTGCCCAGCTTGGCTGGAGCTGTGGGCACATGGAATCAGTGTCACCAAGAACTAATTAATGATAAACAGTGATAAATGAGAGATAAAACCCCCTGATTATGGTTTCTTCATGATAATGAAATGGGATCTCTGTGCTTGTCCAATAAAACCCAAGATGATTTGAAATGAAGAAGTTTAAATTGGGATCCAGATGTCTATTCTGGCTCCAGTAATTATCTGAATATATTTTAATTACACTTTTAATTGCTCTGTGCTCTCTAACGAGTTTCACTATGGAATCCTCATTCCCCTTATCTCAAATACCTCAATTACAGGAATAGAACAGGAAGGGAGGGTTTTATTAAAACTTGTGAGGAGGGATAATGAGTTTTAGGGGCTGGGATAAAAAATGAATGAGGGGTTTGTGGAGTTGGCTCGGAGCTGTGAGTGGCACTTCCCCTTTGGAAGTGAGAGGTCGGGATGGGGTTTCCTGCCCTTGATCCAGGTGCTGATCCAGGTGCTCTGAGGTGATTCCTTTACATCAACCCCGTGTTCCTTTCTCCATGAAAATCCTTCCAGCGCTGTGAAAATCCTTCTCCACGCCAGTGCACGGAAGCAGAACTCCCACTTCTCCTTGCCTTCACCCCAGTCATGGAATCCTGGAATGGTTTGG